AGCAATGTCACCGTTCACCAATACAAACAACTCATTGGTCATATTAGTATGACAGGCTAGTATGTCCACCAGTGTGATGTAAAAGCGGGGACGTCGTGAAGACCCTTGAAGGTTTAAGAGAATGCTTGAAGGTTTAAGAGAACAGTTGAAGTGTCAAAGTACAACAAAAAGTAGTTTTATTTTTAGTGAATTTATTGTTTTGTAAAAAGTCATGTAACGAAAGTTGTATATACGTTACAAACATAAATTTAGTATATAGGTACCCATATACTAAATAAATTCTCTTAAAATTTTCAATACACTACTACGTACAGTCAGAGACAAATATGAATAAGTATGTACCCATTTGAGAGCACGAATTTATATACTTTTGAGAGTAGTAAAATATGCAATACCATAATGTTCTGAAGATTTCATCTTCCAACCTTATACACATATATGTATGTATGTTCACAACTAAATAAGTGTTGGTAAATGAGAAGGTACATATAAACAGTTTTTAGATTTTTTAAACTACCTAATTCTATTGCACTGCACATGGATAGATGATATAAACATATTTTATGTATGGATATTCTAGCAAATCAGTTCATGCTTTATAGATTGCCAAATATATAAATGCTTGAATGCAATTGGATATTTTATTCATATGATCATTTTCGGATAACACTTAATGCATATCGGTGTAAAAGTAATAGGCCCGATGGTTATTTTAATACGTATTTCTCATCTCAAGGTATAACTTCCTCATCGGCAATGACGGCAGAGTATACGAAGGAGTAGGATGGCGTAAAGAGGGTGCGCATACTTACCGGTACAACAAATGTTCTCTGGGCATTGGATTCTTTGGTAAGAATGATTTGCCGTAATTCCCTCTAAGTCACGACGCGAATATCCGCAATGAATCTATTTATAGCACTGATCTCTGCGGAGGCTGACGCGGATATTTTATATCGATTATCCACAGATGTGAATGCTGATATTCGCAACAACCCTGGTATATATACATAGGCAATAGGCATACGTTTTGAGCTTTCTGAATCCCTAAGCAATATAGTGTAATTTCTAGTAGATTTTTTTTGTTTATCTGCTACATCTTTTATACATAAATCCTGTCATAAGAACCCTCTCAAAATGTTGCTGAGAAGCTTTGAAGATTTATTGCTCTTTAGTCAGACTGCGAAGTACAATGATAGGACAAAGGTGATCCGACGAAAGTTAGTCAAGTAAACAATCCGGGAGGAATTGAAACTGACAAAAATTATGACATAAACATGATATAAAAATAATTTATGTACAGGTGACTACAGAGAAGAGGAGCCAGTGCACACCGTCGTGACCGAGTTGCAGCTGAACAGAACTTTGTTAATGCTGGAAGCAGGCGTGTTGTACGGATACTTAGACCCCCAATACAAAGTCGTCGGCGCCAAAGACTTAAAAAGCACACAGAGCCCTGGCTCTAGCCTTTACAATGCCATACAAAAATGGGAGCATTACGATCATGATCACCTTTATTCGAACAAAACCTGTGACGAGATTTATAAACTAAAACTAAAAATGAAATAGTTGTAGGTATTATCAACTATTTAAAATATTGCTAATGAGTGAGATAGACATTATTAAGTAGGTATTGTCTTTCTTTCAAATACACACATCAAAAGTGTCTAGGGATCAAGTACGTTTAAGAATATTGCTGCAATTAAGGTTAATTATATTAACTTTTTTGTATCGCTATTGATATTTTTTAGTGAGTTTTAACATTTAAATAAGGAATATTGTTTAAAATTCGATAATAAGAAGAAAATCGATTGTCAATGTGGTTTTGTATAAAAATGAGTTATAGCGTTTTGACAAAATCATTACAATATCTGCCTCGGAACCGAAACAATTTACATTATTATGGAGAGACGACATCATTTAACCCGAGAAGTGATGATGCGAGCCGTCGGAATGTTGGAAGCTGGTTCCAGGCAACGTGCTGTGGCTTTCACTCTTAACACTACACAGAGCGTCATAAGTCGCCTCTGGACGCGCTATCGCATGACGGGCAGCGTGGCCGAGCGACATGGAGGACCATCTCGCATCACGACTCGCAGACAGGACCGGTATATCCAAAATACTGCTCGACGGAATCGTACCATGACCGCCATGATGTTGGTTACGAGGCTCCACAGCTCCTCAGGCTTGCTAATAAGCGATCAAACAATCCGAAATCGTTTACGTGAAGTGGGTCTGCGATCCCGAAGGCCGCTCAGAGTTCCACCTATTGCACCCTGCAATCGCAGGACCCGTTTACGATGGGCTCGCGAACACAGAAACTGGGAGGAAGAAGACTGGCGCTATGTGTGCTTTTCGAATGAATCCCGCTTCGGTATGAGACCGGATACAAGACGTACTCGAGTTTGGAGAACATCTGGACGTCATGAACGTTTGAGATATTGTCAGGAAGTTCATCCATATGGAGGGGGAACGATAATGATATGGGCCGGTATTTGGATCGGCGGAAGAACCGATCTCATTTGGATCAGGGGTAACCTCAATGCTCAAGTTTACACAGAGAGGATTGTTTCAGATGTTATCATCCCTTTGCGAGGCCAGTTGGGTGATTCATTTCAACTAATGCATGACAATGCACGTCCACACACGGCTAGAGTCGTAACACGCATTCTTGCCGAAGCTCGTATCAACGTTCTGCCGTGGCCTGCTCAATCGCCAGACCTCAATCCAGTTGAGCACGCATGGGATATGCTTCAAAGAAGAGCTGTGCCGAGTATGCATACCGTACATACTCTACAACAATATTTTGACTTGTTACAAAACACATGGGCGGCCATTCCTCAAAGTGATTTTGATGAACTCATCTTAAGCATGCCAAATCGCTGTAATTGTGTGATTCGTGTTAATGGTGGAAATACAGATTATTAATTTTCTTATCTTTACAATAAAAATGAGCAAAATCATCATTTTCGCCATTTTTTTTTTCATTTAATTGACGCCGTTAATTTGAGTTTTTTCCCACAATTTGCAAAAACATCAATTTTAGTTTATTTTAATTAAATATAGGGGTAAGCGGTTAAATAAAACATAAGCATTAAAGTAAGAAGTCGTCCTGGAAGACTGGATTTGGTAAATATTGCTTAAATAATTTTTATTTCAAAAATATTCACTTGATCCCTAGACACTTTTGATGTGTGTATATATACCAACACGTTTTGGTATATATGATGAGATTATCGTGTATATATCGGCAAAAGTAAAAAAATATATAAGTCGAGAAAGGGTTCGTTGTACACTTAAAATAAGCCTAGATTGCGGTTTCGTCCGCTCTGCGACTTTTTTATTATATATTTTTTTGTTTTATTTTTAGTAATGTAAGTCTCGTTCGAATATGTCTCATAACTTCACAGGCGCCTTACGTGGTCTGCTAAACGCTGGAAGAGCGTAAAATGGATAAACACTGCATGACTGCATGCTGGCTGCACTAGCAGTCGGCAAGACAAACTGCACGACAATTTGCAAAATAGCAAAGCGCAGTTCAATTGCAAAACAGCATACCAACACCTGTTGCTAGAGCAGCTCGTAAGTAGCCAGCGTGCAGTCCTAAAGATTGACTGAGCGTTAAATGAAATGTTATTGTGTAATATACACATTTATACATACATGTAGGAAACAAAATTATACACACCGACACATTTAGCGGAACACCAGTAAACTCCTCCAACTAATACAGATGTTTTCAAGTGTGGGTTTGTCAATTTATATCATTTTAGGTCAAATTCAAAAAGAAAATGTCGTTTTTCTATACATTTGTTTTAATTTTCTACTGATACATTTATCGAGTAAGACACTCGAGATTGATTTTTTTTGTTGAAAAATTCATCTGCTAAAATTTGAAATTAATCAATGTAAATCTTTTAAAATTTTTAAATTTGCAGTTTTTTTTTTTGTTGCAAAATATTTAAAATATGTATTTTGTATATGTCATGTCGATGTTAAAACATGTTGATTAAATTGCAAGTTTATGCCTAATATTCAAATATAAACGTTACTATTACATTTTTACCCCGCTAAATGTGTGTGTATATGATCTGACCAATGGCCAGAATAAGGTGTTCCACGTTATAGATACATGTATAGATAAATCTACAAGGAACGACATAAAGTTGTTGAAACCCCCAAATATTAATTAATTACTTTTTCGTATTCCGGATTTTCGGAAGTGGTTTTACTGCATCGTAGGACAATACTACTACTGACATAGGAGTGACGTGTGAGACACATAGTTTCAATCATTATACATAGTTTCAATAGCACTCGCACGCTCAGTGCTATTGAAACTATGTATGATGGGCACACACGCACGCAGGTACTCGCATCGCCCTCGTACGCGCTCACAGGCACTCACACACACTCGGAGTGGATAATGGTATCTATAATAATCATTGTGACTTTAATTTCGTAAATGTAAAATCGAAATGTGTATTCGAAAATTCCAAACTTACTAAAGTTTTTCAACGAAAGAAACTCCTCTCTTATTTTATTTAGATAAAAATAAATAACCGTAGATGGCACAATTCACGTTTTTACTAATTCTAAATTACTTTAAAATCAAACTTTGACCTCCTAAGTCAGTAGTTTTGTCCTATGACGCAGTAAAACCATTTTCGAAAATCCGGAATTCTAAGAAAATAATTAATTAATACTTGATAGTTTAAACAGCTCTGTGTCGCTCGTTATAGCTATATCTATACGTGTAGCTATTTATGTGGAACACTTTTTCCGACCATTGATATAACCAATAAAACCAAAACGGTGTAATTTACTTTATGTATAATTGTTACTGGCAACTGATTGACCAAGAGCTTACCCTACTTGGGTTTCGCGACTGTAACTGTGTGCACTTAAAATAGAAAATAAATAGGGTTTGTTTTCTGATTTTAGTTTAAAAAGAGGTAAAGTTTTAAAGTCATAGGCATAAGATTCTTTTACATTTTTAATTAAAAAAAGTGTTTTACTATATTTGTTTTACTTGACGCAATACTTCGCGCTTATGATTTCAGCACCCCCAAACAAGAGAGGTATTAACAACTTATACCTAAGATGACAACAAAAGCAAACCCAATAAATGCATGCAAAATAAAAATGAACTCGATTAAATAAGAGATGCATTTACATGGTTTATCATTTATTACATGTTTAGTGTATCTTATTCCACGTGTGGTATCAGCTATATTATGTTTTGGCTTGGCATGGCAACACTCGGCGGATCAGTTGCACAATACTAACTAACGGATTATGTGACACGATTCACTATTCCATAAAACTGGCGACAGTGCCAACATGCGTAAATGTAACCAAATAATACCATCTAACCTAGTTTAGAATAAGATTGCTTGTGGAGATTATTGCATACGAACTCACTATAAGGCAGACTCGGAAAGCGCGTACGGTGCGTTCTTCCGACTGCGCCTAAAGACAATGGGATCTTAGTAGAAGTCGCAACACGTAGTGTACATTGTTTTTAATAACAATTTCAAAATGTACAGGGTGTATACAAACATTTGGCATAGATAACTTCACTAGTGATTACATTCGAAGAACTAAATAAAAATAAAATCTTATGATTATTCCAAAGTTTGTAATTTTGAAAGGCTTAAATAATTTTAACATTTTTTTTGTGGTAGTTCCAGAGGTTCTTTTAAGCACTGAAATTTACACAAGTTTATTATTGCAAGTGGTTCATCAAATTCACAACTACAATAGAACTTGCAAAGTCCACGCTCAAGGAGCGCAATCATCAGATCTACGAAGTTTTTTGACAGCAGTTAGCTTACACGTACGCAGACAGAGACCGGGCATAAATGTTTAAGACTAGTATATAATAATACCTACACCCGCAGTGACTCGGGGTTAATCGTACACTACAACATCAAATATTCTGATTATATCATGTTCACTATTACTATTATATGGTTACATGAGCATATATATGATACAGCAACTAATAATTTGTTGTTTAGAACATATGCATATAACGGTTGTTCAAAATTCCTATACATCTTTGGGAATAAAACAACACCCGAACTGAATGAATGTTAACGTTACAGATTGATTACTTAAATACACACTTCACATAAAAATATTTCAATAAATAATGTGTGATTGAGTTAAATTGATTGTAAAAACATAGTTCGATTCGGATTTTGAATTACATTACGTATAATATAATCTTAATAGACACATACCTACTTCACCCTTCGCCCTGAATTTACAGCACTAGATTATGAAATATTATTGTAACTATATTACAAGACAGTTTATGAAATACATAATATATAATGAATTATTGAGATATTATTTGTGAAACAACTCCATTAGTTTTGTTATGATTATTAACAAAACTAGTGCAGTTAAGTCACAAAAACCCGGAAAGAAGAAATTGTTCTGTGTATCCGATATTTGTATTAATAATTACATATAATAAATTTTAAAAAAACACTAATCTCATAACTTTATCTTGGAAATAACATTGCAACATTACAAAAGTGTTACAAGAACAATTGATTTGTAGCCTCGACTATTTTATGTCATGTGGTGACAACTCGAATGGTACTTTTTCAACTGGACTCGCAAATGGACGCATTAGTAACATAAAATACAACACTTCCGGCGCGGTTGAAGAATCCTATCCTGACTATAAATAACCTTTTCACCCCTAAAGAATAACCTATGAAGATATCCATGAATAAACAAAAATCTAAGTGATATTACTAACTTTAATTCTTTCATAACATCAACTTGTAAATAGCAATACGCCCTGAGCCCGCCATAGAAGAGAGACACGAATGAGAAACCTCAAAATTTTCTTTATACGGAATATATTCATGATTCGCATTAAGAAAGGAGTAAAAGACAAAATAAGAAATACGGTTACATTAACCAACAGAAAAAAATGGCGAAATAAAAAGACGAACAATGATACTACAAGATTTGGTCAATATTAAAACTGTAACGCCTATAAGAATATTTGAATAGTCTCCTAGGCTAAAGTAATTAAGTAGGTTACTGTATTATGTTTAGTTAGTGCCACCTCCATCTCCCATTGATAAAGCTATGTCTGTAGTGATAATTTGAAATTGCGTCCATTAGATAGAGTCCCGTTGAAACAGAGTCCAAATATAACCGTATTAAAATTGTGGACATATGAAACTAAATCGCCTTGACGATTTGCTGCCAAGTAGTGTGTAATTACTAATAATCAGAAAATATCGATTTTCAATCATCAAGGATTATCTCTCGAGGCCAATGGCCAGATAAGAATTATAAACTGATGTATGAATTTATGTCATATTATCTTTATTTATTTATAAATACATATTTTATTAACATACACCGAAGACGCCTCAGCGAAAATACGAGATTACTTATCTGCCATTTCTAAGCAAGTATATGACAAGACAAAGAAGAAGTTTAAGACCAAAGTAACAATAGATCTAGAAGCTGTTAAACTTCGCGTTGCAATGTAACATTGGAACACGAATGCAAGGTGGCTCATCGACTTCGACGACAAAATAACTTTGCCGTCGCCGTCAGGTTAAACAACCTGATGGCGACGCCTACCTACACCACAAATTTTCACAACATAACTTTCATTAAAATAATCTAATACCAATATTATTATCGTAGAAAGTATTTTTCAGTCTTTGGTTCCATTCCATTACGTTAAATGCTTTTTTTTTCAACTACATATACAAAAGAGGCATGAGTAATTTTGTTCGATCGTAATATTAAATTGCGGTTGAGCCATCGACACGAAAATATAGCAGGCGACAGGTATCAGATGAAGCACTCGCGAGTTGACATACAGGCACGAGTTATACTAAGACTAGCACAGTCCTATGAGGACGATATTAATAAATTTCTCGATTTTTAATTTATTGCACATGAATTTTTCACAAATCACAGAATATTCCGCGTAACGAGATCTAGCAAACGAAATAACAACTGCAACCAACATACATTCGCTGGTCGCGAGCGGCAGGACACGGCTCAGCGCGGTGGTAGCACGCACACGCGAACCGAAGACACGTCATTGGAGAATACAACACCGCGGGCCGACGCACCACTCAATAACGTGACGCGACACTAATTATTAATTAAAAATATATACGAGTACACGACGACGACGTTCAATGATTAACTGTACAATTTAAACAGCCACACCTAAATATCACGAGAAAAATCTATCGACACGCTGTGGTTCGATGGTAGCAGCAATGCGTGTTATATTAAACCTATGCTCTAAAATATATATTATTTATTTACATAACCGTACTTGAATTAAATGATTTAAGGCTGTATGATTACTATGTTCCGGTATCTACTCAGTCGTATATAAAGGATCTACAATTAAACATTGGCAGTACCCCTGCATTGCGCAGCTCATCTTTTGGATCCCAGCTCGGGGATTTCTAACCATTCCTCATCTAATAATTGTCGCCGACTATTTACATTAAAAAGAACTTGGCAAACCGCAGCACATTGGGCTCCGAAATTACGGAAACGGAATTTTGAACAACGTGTCTATGCGAAAAAGAACCTCTTAAATAATGAAACTCTAAATAAAGCAACTAAACTCGGTTCAATTAACTTGATATGTTCCTCGCTCATTTATTATAAGCTAAAGTGGTGATGCACAATTGATCGGTATGATTAAAATAGCTGACAATAATTTATTTATTGTAGGTATTTGTTTCCCTAGAATTAGAAAAAAATAACAAAACAATTTTCTAAATGCTGCTAAAGAAAAGAGGATCAGTCAGTCTCTCATGAATACATGCAACAATTTTAATTCAAAAATCAAACCTTTAGGATGTTATCTACATCGCTGTTACGTGGCTGTAGTGTTCAGCTCCTTCTGTGTGCTTCGACGGCGGTCTACTCACTCGGCTAACAGATCTGGAACACAAATTAATCACAATGTCAAAACAGTCATTGAACACGAGGCAAGCAGACAATGCTACAGTATATTCAGGAGTACAAAACAGTAATAATAATAAGATACGTGTATTATGTATGTAACGCAAACAAAGTATTGTAATAGCTGTTGAAATATCTGGCTATCAGGAATCCATGGAGCAGGGTGCAAGAAATGCGTGATAAACGCGTTCAGCATGAATCAATTAATAATAACTACAACTGAACGCTCGACATACATCATACACTACAAATACGTACAGAGGAAATCAACAAATGGATGTGGTATTTCATTGTCATAAATTCGATTTACTTATTATGGTCTTGTGTACAAATATTATTATTATTATATGTATACACAAGAACAACATAACTGATGTTGACAACAAATAAATGCGAGCAAAAGTTTTTTTTATGGTAAGTGACGAAGAGTGAGAGTTGTGCGCCTGGTGGTAAGAGACAGGCCCACAGACATACAGAGTTGTTGGTGGTACTAGCACTGGAAGAATACCTCGTGGTGACAACGAAGAAATAGTGCTTGAGGAAATTGAGCAAGATTCTTCCACCTCGACGAGAGTAATAGCACGACGCACGGGAACAGGAAAATCGACTGTGCATGATATTTTAAAGAAAAATAAATTCCATCCCTACCACGTTACACGCGTGTAAACTCTCCAACCGAGAGATTACGCTTCAAGATTACGTTTTTGCCGACAAATGCTAGGTAAGATAGAGGAAGACCCGCACTTCTTTAACAAAATTCTATGGAGCGATGAATCAATCCTTAAAAGAGATGGCTATTTAAATCTACATAATCTCCATAGCTGGGAACTTCAAAACCCCCATCTTATGCGGGAAGACCGATCACAGTACCAGTTTAAAATAAATTATTGGACGGGAATATTAAATGGAAAAGTAATAGGGCCATTTGAACTTAAACTAAAAATTTTTGAAAATAAAACTTTTTTAAATTTAAGTGCCTTAGTTAGTCATACTATTTACTGCCTATCTATTAGCACAGTTAATGTAGAATAGTACGACACCAAAAAACCGAAGGAATTGATTAACTTGTAGTCGTGGTATACAAAAACGTAAAATAGGGTGAAAATAATTAAATTTAAAGAAAAAAATTATATCTTAGGTACTACATGGGATATATTTTTCTTTATTTGTTTTTTGAACGTTCATAAGCTCTACTATAAGGCATTTCAGGCTTATCCATTCTTTACCGGACACCCTGTATATCTAGATAGATGCCGCAAGTAAAGCAATTTGTATGAAAACCAACGTGCCACATTTTTTGTACCCACTACGACGTCACAAGAGCTATTTAGTGATGGAAACCTCCTTCCGCTCGCTCTAAATCGATTGATTGAACGGAATACGCGTAAACACGAGTATTCCACTCAATTAATCAATTCTAAATAGAATAATTTTGTTCAAGTATTTGTTGATTACAAGTAGTCGTAATAATAATATAGTAGAAAAATAGAATAAGATAGTTAAGTCCTTTATTTTACTTGTTTTAAAAAAATGTTGATAACTTATAAAAATTAAGACTTTAATTTGTAATCAACTGCAAATATTGAAATTATTGTCCTTCCAATAAAATAAGCTTATTACATAATATCTTTTTGTAATAGAAGATCTTATCGATTAACTTAAATAACGAATACGCACGTCAGTATATGAACTTGCGACTGCCATAATTAATTTTACTAGAAGGTTTTTTGTTGCTAATTGATCAAATTGATGAATACCAAAACAAATGAAAATGTTACTGCTGACAAAATATTGTAAAATCTTATTAATCAGAAGAGGTTTACTTAATGACGGCCTCGTGTGAAATTTTTGTGATTTGTTTATTATTTCTCGGATTTCTAACTCTGTTACTCTGCACATTTGGATAGCATCTTAGGTGGAATAAACTAAACCACCTTCGTCCTCGAAAGCAACGAACTCATACATATGACCAACTCCAGGTTTTTGAAAAGACAGCGCACTGTTTATTCTTTGCATTATTATATATTTTTTGTATTACTCATACTACATATCCGGCGATGTATGTAATTATTTGCTCAATATATCTCCGGACATTCGAGGCAACGTGCTGCAAAAATTATCGAAATTACAGATACTACCGATAATAGATACTACAAAAAGAAAAAAAAAAGAAACGTTACTAAACGTTATAACAAAAGAGTTATACAATATTTTTATAATATTGCTAAGGTCATAATAATTTCCATCTCTTTGTTTTCATAATCGATCAGAATCTCGAACAGTGTTGCCTAACATATACATCACTAAATGTTTAATTTGGTCAAAGAAATGTATAAGCGGCCGTACCACGAAACTGAATGCATTATACAAAAGTGCGTTCGTTCGATATTCATGGCGTATTAACAAAGGATCACAAATATATCGCACCAAGTAAAAGTCGCAATGTATTACAAAACATGAGACATACACCCGGTTGCATATCTGTTTTCTCGAAATTCGCACAAAACCAAAATAATTGTTTTTAATATAAATTATGCATCTTCTGATTACAAAATCACTTGCCCGTGGAAGGAAACATGCTTGTTTACCCGTTTACCCACAGTTAAGGTGCTTTTGCAGTTTATAATGGCACAATTATACATTTTTCGCGTTTTCGACTGGTGTTTATCTACTATAACGGTCGAGCGCGTTCTGAAGTGTAGCAGCGGCAAGTAAGTGAATTTCACTTACTTTGGGCACGCGAAGTACGTACACTTGCGGCGTCTATCTAGATATATGTCGTGGACATGCCTATCCATAACAGTTGCAGTGACAGTGACGGAGCTTTAGAGAAACACATGAGGGCACTGCCACTGCGCCCATCACCCTACATATCAGATATAAGCTAACAAGTCCCATGTGCCTGTAATTTCATCAGCACCCTTACCGTTCAAAAGCGGAACGCAGTAATGCTGACATTAGTGCTCGGCGGCAGAAATAGGTAAGGTGGTAGTCCAAAGTAGTACTTTGTACTCTTTCACAAGGAGTTCTACTGATACTAAGTTTAATTCTATAGTGTGTTCCAATCCAATATACCAGAAAAGTATACAAACAGATCATTGACCCGACCATAGACAGTTTAGTGATGGCCAATTGTACTGCCAACTACAAATCGATTAATTAATCGAATGAATTGATTTGTTTAAAAGATATCAAGTCGAAACCTTCAAAATATACGTGAAAGTGTTACTGATTCCATTTATTGAATGATTACTTTAGAATTTTAACCAAACCGGTTTGTTTACTTTTCTGGCATAATGGATTGGAACAGACTTTACTTACAATTTTTTTTAATGTTTAAAACAACTCCAATAAAAGCTACTCGGTTTCCTTTGCTGACAATTTAGTTCGCTGTTAGGGTAGTACAAAAAATTCGCTTTAGTCTGGACAACAATAAACATCAAATGACAGTACCAGTGAGGGGTCGACGAGGCCGAAAGCCGCGGCTTCCGTCGGGGCCGCGAGGCGGGCGAACGGTGATCACACGAGGTGCACCCGATTCTTCTAGTGACGCGGTCCGCAGCCGCGCCAGAAGCCTCTCTGGCCGCTCCCGAGTCTTTACAACAGTTGTGCTTTTGCTGCTGCAAGTTACGACGAAATATAAATACATTGTTAATAATATGTAGTTAAAACAAACCGCAAACATTATAATATTACATCTAATTTCTTAAAAGATTTTAAACAATATTGAAAAATAATTGAGGTAAAAATGGTGTAAAGGTAGTTTCATACCGACGAGGCGAGGCGTGACGAAAATAGAAATCTCGCCGGCCTATTTCCACCAAAAACTCGCGCGAGCCATCGCGATCGCGCGCGAGACCGCGCCGTGTGAGAGTAGTGACACTTTAGTGCTATTCAGTTCGATAAACACGCGGCAGTAATATGTCGTAACATATATCGTTTTCAAAAATATGAATACACAATGTAGTTGTAATGTAATCATACTAGCACCAGTTGTCACCATTTTTGTGTGTATTTTGCTAGCTAGGGCGGCAACGTCAGTTTTATTTAGTTAAACTACTCTCAAAACTTTTTTGTTGATAATAACAAGTGATCGGTACCTACGCTATGTCCAACTAATTGTCTTTTTGCTGCAGCGCAAGTGAGATAAATCTTTAGTGTTATCTACATAAATTATTGTAACTGCGGACACAATTTATTTTCTAAATTAAAGCTATTGAAAACTTGCGAACAAAACTCGACTATGTAATAAGATACTATTCCGAAAAAAATAAATCATGTTATGATTACCAATACAAAGATCGATAACACAGAAAAACTTTCGTCGGCCCGGGACTTGAAACCACGTCCATGATGCACTATAGCATTGTTCTAATCATTTGAGTCACGGGTCCAGTTACTGAGTCGTCGAAATTCTGCAATGTGTTTTTGTTATAGAGCTTTGTACTGAGTTCCGACATTCATCGCCGCTAATGACATATTGTGAGAGATTTTTGAATAACCTGATCACCGCAACCTTACGGTGCAGCACGGACGTGGGTTCAAGTCCCACAGGGTCAAGTTTTTCTGTGTGTTTGATCTTTGTATTCATAATCATAACAAAAGTAGTCGAGTTATTTCACAAATAATCTTAATAAATGAATCACGTTTCCGCTGCAGAGTATCACTAGTAATACTCTATGTAGGCATATTGCTGCCTACGCGGTTAAATATTACATCCACAAATATTTCAATTTCCGCCTCACTCATCCTGGTCTATCGAGATAATTTTCACCGAAGCACGTTCTAGGAGATAATTGAAATTTTGCCATACAAATTTCAATCCTCGTCTCGCCTTGTCGGTGGAAAACCACTATAAGGCACATAATTTTTTTCCTACAATACAATATTACATTAAATAATAACCAAAGCAATATTGTGGAAAAAAACAGAATGTGTGTCGCACTATTTTTGGGCGGGCAGCCTCAATTTATGGCGAATTGTGATAATAGTATAGTTTTTCTAAAGACGCGTGACCAAGCCTTTCTAGTTTTACGCAAACATTACTATGTATAATCGAAAATAAGAAATACGTCATTTCAAATACATATTGTGTAATAGTATGGTTTTTCTAAAGATGCGTGACCAAATCTTTCTAGTTTTCAAGAATTACATTTTCATTTGTACACATTTTAAACATTATGTACTTGAATTTTAGAATCATCCAAATGCCCATAGTTACGTTAAGGACGTGCATTAGTTGAATTGTACATAAATATATTTCTGTAATATTGGGAAGTGTTCATTAAAATTAGTGTCATAGTACCACTATAAGTGACAACCATTGTACTTGTAGTACCGAAAATGTACTTTCGTTAATTACAGTCGTTAGGCATTATTAACTTGTTTAATGAAGAAATCCTCATTTGTCAACGTTGAATAAGTTTACTAAAAATTTATAAGTTACATTGCGAGTGGGTGTATAAACAGCAAATCGCAATTTTTGTTCAGATTACTTTTAGTTTGCTTTATAATTGATACGCACCTGACTTTGACGACATTGCAGGCAGAGCTTTTCCCGTTTCTAGGGTTAGTGAGCATCACGAACTCAACCGTGTCGCCGGGCTGGAGGTCAGACGGGTTGCCGCGTACCTCAGACATGTGAAAGAAGAGACGCCGAGTTTCCTCACCCTCCAGTGACAAGAATCCAAATCCACCTATGGACAATGAATATTAAATGATTAATGAATACTTGGTACTTGGTACTTAGTGTAACGGGCTTATGAATATATATATATATATATATATATATATATATATACATATATATATATATATATATGTTTATATATATATTTACTCGCATATAAGTACTCAGATTACTCTAAACTCGCATTGAGCCAATGTTGCGGATCACAGCAATTCCATTTTGAAACTCATACTGGGAGGCAAATTTGTCAGAACAAGTACAGTACACCAGTAATTTCAGCAGTCGCGGTTATCTTCTCGAGTTTCATGCACATTTTCAGTAATCTTCAATGTTTAGTGCTTTTTTTATAGTTAATGATGCAAATGCTCAATGAACAAAATTACTAATCGTGGGAATGCAAAAGTAATCGAACTGAGAACTAGTTTCACAAACTTGTTAATTGTTCTTCTTGTATTAAATTAAGTCATGAAGTTTGTATAGGAGACAAACTTAGAAATATACAAACTTGTGTTTGACTAAAGACACCACGCAAGACTAGTTGATATTAGAGTACGCAGTGTACTTTTTCAAGGTGTACAATTCTAATCAGTTTCAGTTAGGGCTTTGCTGTTTGGGTAATGGAAACGTGCGATTAGAACTGAAGAACAAACTATTCAATACAGTAGCAAAATACAATAGCGACATTACTTTCGTATCACAATCGATAATTAACTTCATAATGTTCCCTACAAGGAATAATATGCGCTGGACTGACAAACACTAGACGTAGAGTCACCTTTAATAGCGTCTACTACAGCACGTCGCTTCTTCCGGATTGGCACAATGTTGGTTGCGCGCCCTTCCACGTCCGCTTGGAAGGTGACGGGGTCCCCGACCTGTAGAATCTCTCGCTTGCAAGCAAGACCCATGATGCCGAACTCGTACGAAGTGCCACCTTCCACTTGAATCAGACCTGTACGAGAAGAGTAAGTAGCAGTGTCAAGTATATAGGATATTTTACTGAGATTTTGCTTTATTTACGTTGCATTATGTACGTGTATAAATAAAAATAAAATAATAATGGAATAAAGAATATGATGGGTCAATAATATACCCAAAGCACCTGAATATTGTGCTTGATCCGGATTGAGGGCGCGTAGTGTGCGAGTAACAGTACCGTTGAGGGTAGGCTCAAGCGGTTTAGCGATGGAGATGGTGCCGCGCGGTAAAGCGCGAACGAATTCGGCGCTGGCGCACCCGCCGCCCGACCCGTTTACGCGTCCCAAGGAATATTCCACCTCTGTGCCCAGTTCTAATGAGTCAGCTACGCCTTCCAGATTACTGTGGAACAATATACAAAGCCAGATTATTTTCCCAAACTTTGACTTTCACTTGACATGTTATAACATTAACATTAATAACATACGTAGGCTTTCATCATACACACATCAAAAAAAGTTTGCGATCAATAGCATAAGCTCCTATAATTCTTCAAATTTAACTTTATCAAGAAAAAATCTATGCTGTATGCTTTCTTTAAATAGCAATACCCTGTTTGAAATTAAAATATAAAACTATTTTTTATTATTTATTTTAAAAAATTGAGCCATTAATCATAATGTAATAGTGATAGAAATTTCATAGAAAGAAAAAGACTGTTTAATTAAACTTAAACAACAATTTATTATTAAAAGGTGTGAATTCAATATAAAATAACTCCTCCCCTGGCTCGAATACATGCGAAGATCCTCCTGGGCATGCTGAGGATCAAGTTATCCAGCATTTCCTGGGGTAACCTATCCCATTCTTCAATAGCGGCTTCCCTGAGCTCTGGAACTGTCTGGGGACGTGGCTCACGGTTCCATACTGCTCGTTTAAGAGCATCCCACGCGTGCTCTATTGGGTTTAAGTCGGGCTAGCCGGCAGGCCAGTCTAATCGTGTGATATCGTATTCTTGAAGAGCAGCATTGACTCGTTGAGCTCGATGTGCGGGCGCATTATCATCGACCGGTACAAATTGGTGCCCATGGTTTACTCGGAATGGTCTGACGATATCATCAATAGCAACTGTTTTGTACATGTCTGCTGTCATGAAGCCCCGATACGGGATCAAAGGCGTTCTAGCTCCAATCATAATGCCACCCCAAAAGGACACCGATTTTCCGCATTGCTGAACTGTTCCAGTGGCAGTTCTTTGTCTTTCACGGTCGCCTGGTCTTCTCCAGACACGGACACGTCGGTTATCTGGATGAGTGCTGATTCGGGATTCGTCAACGAAGAGACAGTTTTGCCAAATGTTTTCGTCCTCACCTTCTTCATTTTGCCGAAGTCTAGCCCACTGCAATCTTCGTTGTTGACGTTGCCGGGAATTGAGCGGAGCTCGCCAAGACCTCCGTGCTCGTAATCCAGCCTGGTGCAAGCAATTGCGAACGGTCTGCGTGCTAACTTCAAGCCCAGAGGCGGCCCTGACTTCTGCTTTTATTTTAGTGGCGTTGATTGTTGGATCACGGGCTGCCAGCAATCTAATATAGCGCTTTTGGGCAGCTGTCAAAACAGCTGGGCGACCGCTGCGGGGTCGGTCAGCTAAATTCCCCATTCCGTGATACCTCTGCAACGTAGCCACGACACAGGATTGGGATATAGCAAGTCTGCGTGCTATTACTCTCGTCGTGTATCCTTCTTCCCTCAAAGTTACTATTCTAGCTCGTAAAACCTCTGATAATCCTCTTGGCATTTTTTCAATCACAACTTTCCGCGAAAAATATCTTGAATCGCTTATAATTGACTATATCAGATTTCTGAATGAGCGTAAGCTAGGACTGAAAGCCTTTTTATATGAAAAAACAATTGAACGGGGTCATTGTTTTATGTTCTAATTTATTTTTAAATAAAGAATCTAAAAAGAAGAAAAAATCATAATATAATCTACAGTAACAAAAAAGATTTCAGTTTTTCGAAGTGATCGCAAACTTTTTTTGATGTGTGTACGAAGATAGGTTAAGGTATTTTAAAATCGACACCTTAGAGAGTAGACGCTCTTCGCACAGCTTTGCCGTGCTATATAAATTGGTTAACTCTGTGTGGGATGCTAGTGAATTGCTAGATCGGGTTGCGATTATGGTTGGAAGATACCGCACGCAAAAACTTTTTTATGTGCCACTAGCAACGTACAACGTGTCGCATGTGCAGGAATTATAATAAGATTAGCAACGAGGTAGATATATTCCACCAATCTTTAAAATCATTAGCGTCTTCAATAGCGTCCATGACGTCTCAAAACTAGGTGCGTTCATTTTATTTTTTTTCAATTTTAATTAATGGTTTGCTCAAACTTTTTAATTTTATAATTGTGCATTTTCACTTTTAAATAGAATATTTAACTAAATCTGTTTCATTTCAATGTTGTGCACAATTGTCTTCTGTTCCAAGCTAAAGTGTTGTAGTATTAAATTAATATTAAGTATTTGTTGTACATGGTTTGTGAACTGTTATTGTGCTAGTGTTTTGTGTGTGTTAAGTAAATAAATAAACACAAGATTTTCAAGTCACAAAACTTCTATCCTTGTATATTGTATGATTAATTGAATGTAATGTAATACGCATAAAAGTATACATACATCATGTATAGACACAACTCCTGAGTTACATTGTTTAACTTAGGCGGTTAGGTCAAACAAACCCTAAACATAATTCTTTTACTTTATAATTTTTATTTCTTTTTTCAAAAACCACTGATACAAACTAACATTAAGAATAAGTATTAGAAACATGAACTTGGCAATGTAATTTTTGCTCAGATAATAAAGTCACACCCACACATACAATAATAAAATATTGGTATTGTGGATATTCCAAGGATTCGCACAAAGCGTTACGCTTCCACATTTATATGGCGAACGACTATGGAGTGGAATTCCCTGCCTGCAGACTTATTCCCTGAACGATAAAATCTTTTGCCTTTTCAAGGCTTTATCGTCACTTTCCACGAGATGAGATGGAGGTCACACACATTTAATATTTCGCATTAAAATTCAACTTCCAATATCGAAATTGTTCCTTCAATTCAAAGTCTGTAATAATGTCGCTATATGCGCGCAGGATATAACAGATAAGGAGGCTACTAACAGCAGTAGGCATAAACGCATAATACGTAAAATAAAATACGTTAATGGATTACGTTACATTACGAATTGCTATAAACGAAACCATATTACAGCTCAGGTCGTTTTAAACAATCGAATGGTGATAAGCCTTAGCTTTGCTAAAGAAAAGCTATATTCTGTGGACTACAAGCCCTCGTACTAAACAAGTGATCTTGAAATGTTTTTATTTAAGACTCTTGATTCTAGTCATGGCTCATTCATGAAAATCACCAAAAACATATTGAAATAAATACATATCAATATTTATTAATTATCGCATAGCACACTGACGTCCAAATAGCAAAATACCAAGTTATTGAAACAATCGCATCGGTAAGCAGAATAAAGTAATATCTCAATTCGCTAATGCAGACAACTACAATAATTTTAAGAAAATGTAACTAATAAACAAATAATATAAAGAGATAGCCAATTATCTCTATTTATTTATTGACGAACATACAGCTGTAGGGTTAGCGCTAGCACAATAGGGCACGACTTGCGCGAGAACGACATAGAAGCAAGAGATATTGCTATTATCTAAGTGTAGTCAAGCATTGATCGTACTATCGATTAGTGTTGGGGATGTTGGGTCACGAGCAATGTCCAAATAAAATATTTATCACAACAAGAAAATATTTTAACAACATACTAATCGTCTTTTGGTAAACAAAGACAGAGCTTTCGGAACCACTGACTTAAACCATTAATATGGTAGTAGTTAGAAATTTTCATTTTTTTCTTCTTTTAATTTATTTTCTGCATGTTCATGAGTTGATTGAAGCAGCAGAATAAATTATGAGTCAAATACCCTGTTTACTAATTGTTTCGTTCTAGAGATGTAGACTGATTATTGGAATTTTCAAAAATATTTCTAAATCATTTATAAAGACTTTAAAGGAATGAAAAATTCAATACTTTAAGAATCTAAATTAATAAAAACAACTATGTTAAAGCGGGCCATTTAGCTCATAGAACATTGCAAACTTGAGGTACAAACAGTGCTCAATTTAAATTGGTAAGGGTTTAATTGATAGATATTCCTAGATCCTATATTTATGTTATTTGCATATCTCAGAAATGTATCCCTTAAGAATAAAAATATACATCCGAAACCAAAATGAAACGTATTTATAAGGCAAGTGCAAGCGGGCAAATTGATAAGGACAGACCAAGGCGACCTTACCATTACCAAATTGAGAACATTCTGAAGAAAGGTCAGGTCAAATGTACCCTTAACTGACGAACTTGTTTGAAAGCATCGATGTATACTGATGAGGCGAAGATGTGTGTCTGTCTACGGCTTGAAGTATAGATATGAAGACTAGCAAACTCCTTCATCTCCTTTTCCGAAAGTTTTATCGCACACAACGACGTTGCGTTAACAATGAATTACCACTAGTATGCAAATTCTCAATGCAATGCACAAAATGTGTGTGTGATATTTTAATGGGTACTTAGACCTTTTTAATATAACACGTAACAAATTTAACCAACTAAAACAATCTACAATTTTTTTTATACTCGTTTTGAGTTCAAAAGAAAAAAGAAAATACGAAAACATATTTTTTAATGGGAATTGTTACATTTTAAAACAATCACATTTTTTTACTGTGATGAGATCGATAAACGATTACCGACATTCTTTGACCGCTGTTATCTACACCATCCTTGGAAATATACACAGTAAGTAATCGATTTCTTGGATTCAGCTTCATATGAATATTTTACTTGCTAGCACTTTTTTGTCATGAAGATGAATTTTATTGAGTCAGACCTAAATAAAAATTTAACAAGCTTACTTCAGCAAGATTAATAACTGAAGCAATATTTCAAGTCGGTACTCTGAGTTTGCACCAAGTGCGATAACCGCTAATCTTATCATTATCGTAAAGTTAGTAATTTTTCCCTGATCTGCATAAGGTAATATTGTGGTGGCATCTATTTTAGTAAAAATTGAACCACTTGAACCAGTTCCGTGCCTCAACGAATAGGTAGTATAGCTACTTCAAAAAACACTAAAGATTTTCTCGCATTCTGTCTGATACGAGACAAATTAAATTCAATCTACCCACCCACAAAAATACAAGTTGTCCATCGTCCTTTTACGTCGTTATACAGGGTGTCCAGTAAGTAGCACGACAAACTGCGTGGAGTGATAGCCTAGTTCGAGGCCTACCTAAACAACATAAAGTATGTTCCGCAAAAATCAGTGGTTCTCAAGTTATGTAGTATTTAGTATAATTTAAAAAAATCTCTAACCTGCATCAGATTTTCATTTTAATTTACATAAAAAACTAATTTAGGGATTTTTTTTCCAGCTGTAATTATTTTTGAATAGTGGTTCAACATAATAGTAAATGATAGGTTCCTAAGAAAAGCCGCAAAAAATATTAAAAAGGTCGTCAAACTTTTTTTCCCAGTTTTTTATTTCTTGACCTTTTATGTTAACCTAAAGTGGTGTAAAGAAAATGTATGGGTCTGTTTTATTTAACCTTTTTAAAAACATGTCTGTTTATTGCTGATTTAAAAAAAAAAAACACTTGTGGATTCTCATTACAAAAAACCAAAAAATGCTACTTTTATACAAAGTCAGAAAGAAAGTGAACTTTCGACTTAATGTGTAAAACCTTTCAGTTATGTTTTTGTTAGCATATTGATACTCAATATTTATTGCCGGTGTGAAAAAAAGCAGTATAAGGTACAGGTACGGTACATTACTAAAATAAAACAAAAAATACAGTTAATATTTTTAATAAAAAAAAATTACAGCAAATGTTCGAATTGCCTGCCTCTAGCTCGAATACATAATCGACAACGTCTTAAAAATTGCGTTCGAAGCCTTCTTAGATTCATTTGCGTGATTTCGCGCGAAGCTGCGTTTTTCTGGCTCGCAGTTCTTCATCATTTCTTATTGGTTTGGCATAAATTTTATCTTTTAAACAACCCCAATAAAAGAAATCTAAGGGATTGAGGTCAGGTGACCTTGGTGGCCATAATATTGGTCCAAGTCTTCCGATCCATCTTCCTGGAAAGACTGCATTCAAATGGTTTCTTACTTCTACTGCATAATGTGCCGGACAGCCGTCATTTTGCAACCACATCTTCTGGCGTATGTCCTCATTAACATCGGCAAGCAGCGGGGGCAAAGTTTCTCTAAGAAATTCTAAATATCTTGCCCCATTTAAAACTTGCGGCAGTTCCACGGGTCCTATGATTTCCCCCTTGAAAATCACCGTCCATAAATTGATTTTAAATTGGTACTGGGACCGATCTTCTCTGGCTTCATGTGGGTTTGCCAGTTGCCAGTTGTGCAAGTTGTGCATATTAAAAAATCCATCTTTTCGACACGCCGATTCGTCGGTCCAAAGTATTTTGTTGAAGAACAATGGATCTTCTTGATGCATTTGAAGCATGCGACGACAAAAAATCATTCTTTGTTCGTAATCTCCGTCCATTAGCGTTTGCACACGTTGAATATGAAACGGGTAGTATCCATGTCTTTGAAGCACAGAATGAACCGTAGACTTAGGCATACCCGTGCGCAGTGAAATTCCCCGCACCGAAGTAGATGGATCGTCTTGTCGTTCTTGAAGAATGATGTCCTCGTCGGCAACTTGGGGCCGTCCACCGCCGCCTCGCTGACCAGGCAGTCTTCCTTGCGTGTAGGCGTTATGGATTCGCGTAAACATTTCATGATGTGGATGTCTTCGGTCAGGGTATCGTTCCTGATAAAGGCGCGCTGCAGCACGGGAGATTTGGCCCGCTTCCCCGTAAATAACGTGCATTTCAGCGTACTCTCTTTGAGTGTAAGGTTCATAAACGCGGCGATTAGCTGCCATGTTCAACAACAACAACAACAGCACAGTGTTTTCGGCAGTTGAAGATTTCACAAAAAATCCAAATAGCTAAGTGCAGTCCGTAGTCCAAAAGCTTGCCAAGTTGTCGCAGGGTAATCACAAACACATTAAAGTCCAAATCGAAAGGCAGAAACAAGAGTCCGGTGTAAATAAATAATAGGTCGGTCGGTAGGAGTCAAAAAGTACTTGGCGATGAAAAAGTTGTGCGTGTGCGCGTGATGACTAACGGCAACGTACTAGATCGGCCTGTCCAAACTGGTTCGGCAGGTAGATAGGTCGCTTGTGGGGTGGGGCAAGCCGTTCACTATTGTTTCTTTCCCATCCACAGGGAGTGAGAGAGAAATGGCACTATGGCAAACGTGTTTTAGATGCAGTCGAATTGCTGGGCTAGTGTTATTACGGTGTTTTAGAAAAGTAACGATATTCTTGATTTCTAGAAAATTTTTACTCATTGGTTAAAAATATTTTTATTTTATTTTATGGGAATGGGAATCCATAAGTGTTGTACTTTTTTGAAATCAGCAATGAACAGACATGTTTTAAAAAAGGTTAAATAAAACAGCCCCATACATTTTTTTTACACCACTGTAGGTTAACATAAAAGGTCAAGAAATAAAAAATTAAGGAAAAAAAGTTTGACGACCTTTTTAATATTTTTTGCGGCTTATCTTAGGAACCTAACATTTACTATTATGTTGAACCAATATTCAAGAATAATTACAGCTGAAAAAAAATCCTTAAATTAGTTTTTTATGTAAATTAAAATTAAAATCTGATGCAGGGTAGGGATTTTTTTAAATTATACTAAATACTACATAACTTGAGAACCACTGATTTTTGCGGAATATACTTTATGTTGTCTAGGTAGGCCTTGACCTAGGCTATCACCCCACGCAGTTTGTCGTGCTACTTACTGGACACCCTGTATGTGTGCGTTCAGTGATTAAAAAAAACACCTAAACGTTTATTTATTAATTACTCTCATCTCAAAGAACGTGCTCTTTTGATTAAAATTATTTTGACATTAACTGTACACACGGAATCTCGATTGATTTTGTTGGAAGCAGCCAGCAAAAATTTCGATTTAACTCTAACAACTCTTAATTTAATACATCGGTACCAGCGTATAAATACGGCGTGGCTCCTTAAGATTTATATATTCTTTATGTGATTTCATTTATAAAATACAGAAAAAATTATACAGTGCTTATATTTTCTCAATGTCTTTCGGCAAACATCGGGTTTCCGAATGCACACGAATATTAATTTCCATGCCCATTAGTCATTAAATTTAAAATGCATAATAATTTAAATTTTGACCGACATACTGTATTGTTGTTTTATTTTGATATCCGTGTGAACTTCACAGACCTGTAAAACTATTTTTAATTTTAAAAAGTTAAAAGTAAAAGTTGTTGACATGGAGTAAAGTTAAGTAGTTGTAGTAGTGGAGTAAGTTAACAAAAATACGTAGAATTAAAAATGAATATCTTTCCGGTTATCAATAATTTCAATTCTGGAAGCGTCCAGTCCGCATCAAAGGCAAAGGGCAACTGAATAAAACCCGACGACAACCTACGAACACGACGTTTACCGAGGATATACCATTATAATAATACTAAAGTATCTGATGTTTTGTTTCAAGTGTTTAAGATTAATAGTTATTCAAAGTTAATAGTTAACTGTCTCCGTGGCCGAATGTTATCATGCTGGACTGCCACGCAAGAGGTCTCGGGTTCGATTCCCGAGCCGGGAGAAACATTTGTATGGCCCTACTTTTACTACTCTAGTCAAAAAAGTTACATTTGTGGTTGCCTACGAGCGTGTTCATGGCACCGGCGTCACAGGGTCTTCCAAGTGCGGTGCTATGAGTGTGTACGTTATTATTATTAATGATAGCTTTACGACGATGGCATGTTAAATTTTTAATAATTCCAATTTGTTTATTTCTAGAATGTCTATAAAACGCCCAACCAATGATAAGCTAGAGACGTACCTGAAGTGAAAGAAGACTTCTTTGTTGTGGTCAGAAGTCTCAATGAAACCGAAGCCATCCTTGAGAGCCGCAATGAAGCCTTGCATTACAGGGCGGGTGTTGCTGCCGCCGCCATTGCTCGAGCTGCCGTTTGTAAGGCTGTGTTGTATCTGCACCGACATCGCTACCAGCTCCTTAGTTCTCTTTACCTGCATATTTGCAACTCACATTAATAAACTCCTTGACGCACGCTACACGACCTATATACTTTTTATACATGTTATGCGATTACTCCGGCATTTGTCAACATATTTTGATGATACTTTTTTGTTGGAAAGAGGGGTAGTACCTAGTATTGGTCCCATTTAAATTTGAAAGAAAATATTCCTCCACTAATGGTGGCAAACTAGGAGATGAATCCGGTTTCGCGCACTTTCCCTTAACCGATTGCTATAAAACTTGACAAATTGATGTAATTCCAACAAAAAAGCCGATAAGCAAACTTTGGAGATCAGTGTTTTTTCCGACACAAAAAGAAAGTAAATCAAGAGTAAATAATGTAAATTAAAACCAAATGATAATTAGAATAATTACAAATTTTATGTCGTGGTGTTATATTTTACAAATTAACATTAGTACCTGTGAAGTAAATATTGACATGCATGTTGAGAGAAAATACATCGAACCAGCATTTCTTTTTATAGTATATCCGATGTTACGCTCTGTACAAACTTACCACAGATAAAGCTACAATCAGGTCGGCGTCACCTGTAATTAATTACTTTAAATATAAAGAAACCAATAACACTGTCCAAACAAAAGCTAAAAAACAATAATCCTTTGCCTTTTGGTAAGCACAACGAAAATGTAAATAAATGATTTCGTTTTGACCGTCATATTGTTTAAAAACAGATCTCTTTATCAATATATACTTTTTTTTAACGTCATTAAACAACGTAAACAATGATATCTGTGGCAAACGAGTAGAAACCGTAACACCGAAAAGAGCAGCGGCGTGCTCCAGTATTTTTTCTCAATGCTTATACAATTTCAAAGGAAAGCAGATGCAACGTCTATAAAGATTGCTGTTAGACACAAATAGAAAATTTGCTATTATATTTATTTATAAGGAATAGAATAGAAACACACACACCTGGTAAATGTCAAAGGTGACTTTATCTCCGACGCGGGGAAGCAGTTTGGTCTCACACTTTTTGGCAGCGAATGGCAGAGTTTTCTTAGTACCATTGATTTGGCAGGTAATTAAGCCGTTGGAATCCTGTTTAACGCAAGGACTGCTTGCTAAACATCATGTGGTGTAATCGTACTAAGGCTAACATTACTACAATTTTCTTTAATAAATCAACTGTCACAGATGAATTATTCAATTTCTATGTCCAATCACATAATCTTATTTAAGTCAAAGTGGATAAGCACATAATAACTGTAAGTTCAGAAGTAAACGTACTGTGGGTTCAGGGCGCGTCGGGCTGGAGCTAGAATATCGCTGAGCTTCCTTGGCAACAACACCGCGCACACCGCGCTCGATCTGAGTCTCGAATTTCACTGTGCCCGGCGGCAGGTGCTTGATGCGGATGGCCGACTGCCGCGTGTTCATATTGGAAAACGTCGACACTGGGTCCACAGTGAATTCCACCTGAGTAACATACACAAACGTTTATTGTGCGCTCCCCAATTTATCCCGAACTCTCAGTCGAGACGCAAATATCACATAAGTTTAATATACCTCATCTCCAACACTCAGCTCACGACCAAGACGAAGAACTTCAGCGAAATGAAAGAACATAGTTTGTTCCCTTTCGACGCAGCGAATAAACCCGAAGCCCTCACGAAGAGAACACACCACGCCCTGTTCCCTCCTGCGCGACATAAATTACGAATTGAAATTCTTGCACAAATTTAAAGAAACGCACAATGTAAGCTCAATTCGGACCTTTCTCCAGAGACATTGAATGACTCATCGAGGAGAGATATGTTGGTAGCGCGCTTCAACTGGTCGCGCCTGTCCGTAGCAACCTGAAACTGCACCCAATCTCCGTGGCGCAGCGTGAATTCGCCGCACTGATCTTTATCTCCAAAAGGCACCTGCATCATCAAAGAACATATTCTATTATGTGCATTACAGAAAAGTTTATAACAACATCAACAACAATTGCTACAACTTATAAAGTACACCCATTGACATTTCAATAAATTTAAAACAACAATGATCAGTTAAAGTAGCATTTTAGGAGTCATGCAGTGTAACTGCTAGTGGCAGAAGTGTTTATTGACAATCAAAAAATTATTTCAATTAGTGTTTAATCAATAATTTTCGTCGACTTTACATGACCCTCCATCCGCCGTAACTGTTCAATATGATACATTAAGCCTTTTTTATTAAACTAAAAAATATCACACCCAATAGCTTTAGAAAAACTAAAAAGGCTAAATGTAAAAATAGAACAATGGTAATATATACAACAACAAAGACCCTACGTGTCTAATGATTCCAACTCCTTCTGGTCGCCACTAAGCATGAAAGAAAGATAAACAATTTACTAGAACAGTAAAAGTCCCAATTTACAAGACAAGAATATGGTGTTAAGTTAGAATGCTTGGTGTCTCACCTCAACCTCGGAGTGATCAGCTGCGCGGTATCTAATCCTGCCGGGCAAAGGGTCGTTCTGCGGTGCGCGTGTCATGCTTCCGCGCTCAAGCGGCTTGAGCACTTGTCCGCGCATCGTTTCAGGACTCACATCCTCGAAGACAACGGACCCAGACGGTAACTTAGTAATATGACATGCCACTTCCTTACCCTTAAAAATGAAACAAATATTACTTTTCTGTTGACACAAATCACAAAAACAATTCAAACAAAACATTTTCAAAACGCAAGTGTGAAGTAAATAGTAGTAGTATATCAACACAATGACACAACACAAATTTTAGGTTCTTTATCCTGCAGCATTGTTGTAATTTTTCAACAATATGCTTACTGAAAATTAACTGTTTATCCATGTAGTATCCATGTCTTGAAAAGTAAATTAAAACTTTACTTAATAACTACAAGTACAATCTTTGCAAACATAAGAAGTGAAAAACAAACTCACATTCCTAGTCTGGATAATAAATTCAACATCGTCGCCTAACCATAGTTCTTCTTTAGTCTTGGCTTCAGTATAGTGGAAAAATATCTCCTTAACCACATCTGCTCGTTCAATAAACCCAAAGTTTTCCTTCATAGAACACACAACACCATGATATTTGACTGGGTGGGCAGGATTCTCAAAACGAATATGACAAGCACCCAAAGTGCCTCTGCAAATAATTTTAAATAAATATAAATGGCCTGAAATATCACAAATAAATAAAATTTTAAATTTCATAAACTAACCTTTGATTAGTAGCTATCTGAAAACTAACCGCATCACCAGTTCGCAAAGTCACATTACCCTCAACATCGTCTTTTGTATAGGGCAAGAAGAAGCATTCTCCCCTGTTTTCATAGGAAATCCTCCCTGTGTTATCTCCTGAACCTTCTCCTTTTACCTCAGTTGTGACAGTCCCAGTCACCCTGGCTTCACTCAAAACCTTTGTTTAAACAAAATCATCAATGTGTAATAAAAAAAAGATTTAGTATGAATACATAGTAACCATGTTAGTAAAACACACACTTGTGAACTGGATCAATCAAGACTTTAATATAAATAAAGTATAGAATAATTACCACTTCTGGTGCAATCTTTGTGACTGTAGAGGCAATGGGTTTACCAGTGCGGCGATCATAAGTCATTTCAAATTCTACAGGATCACCAATTTTGAGATGTTCAATGTTACCACTGAACTGACTGAAGTGGAAAAACAGACGAGCTTGTCTCTCACAACATTGGATAAAGCCATAGGAGTGCTGAAACAATACAATATACATTTCAAATTAAAAGTTTCAAACCATACCTACCCACCTCTCACAAAAAATATCCAACAAATATTCGATAGCTTACATAAAAATAAAAGCTGTCATACAAATAAAAAGCATCAAAATCAGTTCAATATACATACATACTCCCTATAGCAATACTACACAACCCCTTAAAAACTTATAATAATAAATACCACCTTTGTTCCATTGTGGGGAACACAATTATATGCAACACTGAACAAATCAGTTGCATATAACAACTAGCTAGGTTCAGCATATAAACATACCAGTAATTTTTCAATAATGCCCGTCTCTCTAATAGGTGGGTGATTTGTAGAGTCATATTGAGATGAATTGTTAGTTGATCCCGAAGAGTACACTCCAACGGAGTCCCCCATGGGGCATCCATCCAAGTTGTAGTTGCCAAGGTTGAATCGATGCCCACCACTTGTCTTCCCCATATTATTGTAGTTATCTCTTGGAGAGCTAGGGTACTCACTGCTGTAAGTACCTTCAAATAGAAAAATAACCTCAATTATAAACAATCACAAATATGCATAACTTAGTTAGTTTAAGTAGGTACTCACCATTACGATACGCCTGTTTGGCCTGCATGTTCGAGTGCTGGATATCTAGAATGTCCTGCAAGGGTGACGAGTGTGAATCTGGCGGCTGGAACATTTTCCACTGAGGATTGCTGGACATTATTCCTTGATTGTGAACCTTGTATATAGGTCGAAAATCTTCAGTATTATGTATGTACCAATATATCACAGAAAATCGTGTGGTGTTAAAAGTTTTTATAAAGAAGTTACAAATTTCAAAATCAAATCACATTTTCTTATTTGTGTTCTCAAAAACACCATTGAGTCCTTAGCGTAAAAATCACAATTTAAACACCAAAATCTCTGTTTCAAAGTAAAACTACTTATGATTACGTTATATTCTATCCTCAGATGTCTTCAATGCTTGCTGAATCGGAGCTCTGTGGTGCATCGGCTTGGTTGAAGGTAATCGTGTAATTCTGTTACTATCTATGTAGGTATACCTTTACCGATATTCACAAGCTGCAATAGACACTCGGATTAGATAAAAGTACCTACATTACAATGAGCTCAAACGAATGCCTAAACAATCACTATTACGTTGATTTGCAATAAAGACTCGCGATGCGTTCTACATTTTATTATTGCTATCTAGGTAGGTATCGGCCGCCCGATCAGACCGACGATCTGCACAAATTATAACGCTCGACGACAAGCCCGACTTTTCCCGTTCGGCTACCACCAATAAGGCAAACAGCATATCACAATCAAAACTACACACTGGTTACCAATTTTATGACGACGCTAAACAAATAAATAAATTGAATTATGCAGATACAAAACCATAAAATTATCAAATCTCACCACGACACAGCATAGCACTGACGACATACCGCCATATTGAACATGAACGTCAACATAATCACGACTTTGATCCGGCCATACAAATAATATTTGGTAGGAAATCGTAAATCTGAAATGTTCATGTAAACATGGAGAAAATATTGTCCAGTTACCTATTCAAGATATTAATGTGGAATTTTAAATTTTGTCTTATTTTTTTGTCTAAACGCGGAAAACAATCATAAAGATTTGATTTTTCTTCTATTATAAAGCACTCAAAAAATGAAAGTGGCCATTGCAGCTTGTTGACATGAAGTAAGGTGACAGAGTTTTTGAGTTGAAACAACAAAGAAAACCATATATTATGTTCATGTTCATTTCAAAAGAGATGTATTTTACAAATACAAATTATTTAAATGAAGTGTTTGGGTTTTGTCATTTTAAAAAGGTAGCACTATCATTTATCTTTTTTTAAATAGTAACACTATCATTTTTTTTTAATGCAAAGGCAAAGGAATTCAATCATCATACAGCTTGGATTGAGAGTATTTTTCTGTAATAAATTATGTTTTATTCAAAGAAGATTATGTTTTATTACAAATTTACAATAAGTCTACGATTGCGCTTCTTACAAAATAAAATAATTTGTTTTATTTCAAAGGCTAGGATTGAAAGGAATTTTAAATATGTATTGAATTTCGTATTTTTTTCTGATAGTAGCAGTGCTTGTATTCGTCCTATTCGTCAGTGGTCGAATTATAGATAATGAAATTACCGGTGCACCGAAATCGCACTAGTGGCGAAGGAACCTTTGAACAGGGGCAACTTAGAACAAACGGTTTGCGCTGTCAGTTCGAATAAAAATGTAGTACGAACTGTTAAAATATGTGCATAGGGTCAATGTAAATTATTTTTTTCCATCCTCTGAAGTCCATCCATCATCCATCATCCACACCGCGCGCCAAAAACTGAATGAGACGAGAGTTACTTTAGTTTCACCGTCGAAAAGTAAACATTCTCAAAAATAGTTGTGAGGGTATTAGTGGAGGAATTTAAAGAATGGTGAGTTAAACTTTGCTTGTCGTATGGAATGCTTTATTGTTAAAATATCAAACCTACAGCTTGCAATCACTGAGTGTTTATACGCATGAAAAATACTTGATAATTTGTAGAGTAGCGCAGCTTTGAACACGCTTAGAGGTTCTGATTAGTTTCCTCTGCTAATATTTTATTATGAAAAGGTTTATTTTTTTTTAGTTATTTTTATTCTGTTTCGTACTATTTCTGTGATTTTATAATTAACGAACCCTGTACCCCACCTACGGTAGGGTCGAGTTTGGCCTGCGGCGTGTGGTCGGGTTTAGATTACGGGGTGTGCTTATGCTCTTCGGTGGTAAAGCGGTTAATACTATGGGCGCTTGATGAGAAGGTTCCGGGTTCGACTTGGGCCAATTTAGGAAACGAATATTTCTAATTGGTTCTGTTATGGGCTTTCTGGGTATTGACCTCAGAGTTATCGTTATTCTGGTATTGATAGTGCAGCAAATTCCCTAATTTGAGACCAGAATTGGTGTGATTGTGTGGCTTTTTTTCCCGAAATACTTCTCTTTGGTATAGTTTTTAAGAAAAAAGAATCTAACAGAAAGACGGTCGAGAGACAACAACGCTCTATAGTCCATTTATTTAGGTACTTAACTAAATGTAAACAATCTTGATACATCTTTTTATTGAAACACATGCTTTACAAATCAATAGGTATAAAAATAGACATGCAATTTCATATGAAGCTAAGTACTTGTATTTTGTATTTGAAGGTAAGGGGAAATCATTTTATAAATGTATATTTCATTAAATAGACATCTTAAGATTGTTTACATTTATTTAAGTACCTAAACAGATGGACTATAGGCACCTCATTTCCACCACATGCCTTACATTTGAACAATACATTGTGAGATCTTGTACTCGTAATAGAGCTTCCGTGTGCCACCTACGTACGGTGGCGTGCAGACGCTTCGGGCTTCGCCCTCCGCTGGACTTCGGCCTACGGCCTCGGCGCTTAAGACTGTTTTTAAAAATTTAAATAACTCTTTCAAAAAAACATTGAATATATTTTGACCACTTTTTGATTATTAGACAATCCTAGAAATCTTTTCAGGTAAAAAAAACCACTTATATAACGGTTAAATTGACAAACGGCGGAAACAAAATATTTACCCCAGATTATGATTGAAACATGCCGTGCCATTTTCAGTCGGTTTAGCAAATTTTGAATATAGTTTATATGGCAGCCATATTGAAAAATGGCATAACATGAATATTCATCACAAATTATTATTAAACGCCCATGGAGACCTTCACGTGCCGATTGTCCGTCGAAATAGAGCAAATTTTTGTCTGCCGCCAAAAAACGCTTGTATGTCGGCCATATATTGAAAAATGACAAAAAACCAATTTTGACAACTTTACCTCCGGCACTTCTATAATTCCGGCACACGTATAATTTTTTTACATACGACTGTTTGTAAAATAAATGAAAAGTAAATAATAAGTAATAAGTTGTTTAAAAAAAAAATCAGGAATACCTACGATATAAATTCTAACAGAAACCTATATTGCAGCTTATACATAAAATATAAATGTAAACATAAACATTGTTCACAAAATAAACAGGTATTTTTTTAACTTTTACTTTTATATTGAGATGAATCTTCTTACGTTACAATCCAGCAGTTACAATCCACTTACCTACTTAGCGACATTCTAACGACCCTTATATTATTCCTTAATCCATTTCATATCCTAGTGAAATCTCCTTCTCTATTCGTCACTTGTGAGTTCCAAGATTCAAAGGGATAAAAAGAGAAATAATAATAGAGAAAATTAATTTCTAGCGAAATTCCGCATCCATATTCTTTGTTCATGCGTGTAACAAATTATTCACTAACAGTGCCACATATTTGGCTCTGTGATTACTCTGATTGCCCAAAAAGACGTTTTCGACAGTATTCAGTGACGTCCATGATAATTTTGATAAGAATAAAGTGCTAGATGACAAGACGTGTTGTCATCTGACTGTGTATTTAGAAAGTGCACTAATTACAATGTTAAAGTAAATGAAACACAAGGAATCACAAATCACGCGTAATTTACCAAAAATATTTACATTATTACTATATTTTATTTATATTTCTGTTTATTTTCATAAGTAAAGAAATAAATTACTATCTCTATCTTCAATTAGTAACTCTAATTGAAGATAGAGATAGTAATTTATTTCTGTAGCGAGTGCAATAAAGACGCATAAAATCCGGTAATAGATTATAAGTGCAAGTACGTACATTGTTGGCAGTAAATAAAGTCATGGATTTGGTAGATGACTGTTTGTACTGTAGGTGGAAAACTTATATAAACAGATTTGTTACCTACATATTTATGTTTATGCATGTTTATCATAAACTAAACAATCATTTCTCGCCTGACAAAACACAGAATTTAAAAAAATCATATTTAAAAAAATATATTTACATAAAACATCAAGTAAACTCTTAAATTTTTTTAACGCTGTGTTCAGATTGGAAATGAACATACTTTGTGTGGAGCATCGGGTTATATACTCGATGGTGTGGTGATTGACATAACACACATGTTTTTGATTGAAATTAATTTCTGAAATCTCATTTTCTGGGACGTAACTAGGAGTTTATGCACTCTACGCATTTCAAAATGTTTTCCAATTTTCTTGCAAACTAACCTGAAATATAGTCCACTATCAATTTGACATCACTCGTTAAAGTTTCAATGTCAAGCATTTCAGCAAATATATCACAGACATATAGATGTATGTCTGTGAAATATATCAATATTAATTTCTGATATCTTGTCATTAATCATTGTGACAACATTTTCAGGTCGATATTTGGATGCTTTAGCATCGAATTCGTCGTCGTCAATTGGTACTCATTTGTTAGAAGACTAATTTTATTAATGTTAATGTTTAATGTAATTAATGTTTAATGGCGAAAGAGCAATTTATGGAATTTAATTTAAATGAAATGATGTTGTGGCGACTCTTGGGGAAGGTCTATGTCCAGCAGTGGACGTCTTTCGGCTGAAATTATGATGATGTTGAAAGGATAGGGGTACAACAAATAAGTCTACTTGTTACCTTAGAAATAGCATTGTTCCAGAGTAGATGATTATATTTGACTTATAAATATTTTGCACGTTTGTTTGCTAACAATAGTAATTTGTTATGCAAGGCTGCAACGTTGTTGTTTGACGCGAATGCTTGTATGGAAACCTGAGCAAGCGAAGGAGCCTAAGATTGAACCACGAGCGAAGCGAATGGTTCAAAAATAGAATCCTGAGCGTAGCGAGGGTTTCAAGCCACGAGACGCAAAACAATTTAGCTGCCAAGCGAACCACACAACTTTTCCTGGTAAATGGTAGATAAAAAAACAATTGAACTGTAACAAAAATTCCATCCTACAAGCAAAAATTAGGTATCGTTGTCAATTTTAATGACAACAATACGGAAGTAAAAATATTTAGTCTGTGGTCAACAATAATAAGAATAAATTATACCAACGGATTTATATTACATAACAACTCGCGTAGACAAATCGCGTAGTCGAACGTGTCATTATGTCTTTTTAATCGAATGAAAAAGTTAGGTGCAACACATTCCATCGTCAAGTTCCAATATCAAAAACGTTTTCCACTCTGACGCGTAGATTTCTAACGAGAAAGAAAGCCTTTCCAAGCTAGTGAAGTGAAAAAAAAATATTTTTTTCCTTTTATTGTATTTTGCTTCTTTTAAGAAAGAGACGAAACGTCATTTAATTTGTTTGATAACTATTCTGCCATATAATTGCCGTGACAACTGCGCTCCGATTGGCTAGCCCGAGTTCGAAACCATTGACGGGTGTCATCAATGGGTGTCGTCAACTGTTTCACTTCAAATCGACCAGTTTACTTGATCTTTGCTATAACGGCGAAAATTGCAAAATTACATATTTAATGAATATTGAAATCTGATTCCGTTTATCTTGCAATTAGACGTTTTGCTGTTTTATACGCACCACCGAATAGAACAGCACGGCATTGTTAGAGATATTATTTTTATTACAATAAATACGTACACACAGGTCAGTAGTTGGCCTGTCTTTATTTCAGTGCAAACGAGAGTTGATATTTATAAGAGCTGTATCGCTAATGTGTTACCAGGAATATATGGCCCTTATTTCGTCTCTATTTCTGGTTACATACTCGATAATTCTGTTCAACAAAATCATAATTACAATCATCCATGGCCTGTCAATTCAAATGATGAACGATTTTTAAAAATTATCTATATGTTGTGGAACAGATTTCAAATGTAGATTTAGAACGTAATTATTATGTGGTCTGTGGTAATTAGATCGAGTATATAACCAGAAATAGACACGAATTAAAGGCCATATATTCCTGCTAACGGACTAGCGATACAGATCTTACAAATATCAACTCCCGTTTTCACTGAAATATAGACAGGCCAACTACTGACCTGTGTGTACGTCTCCATAAATTCCAAGAAATATTCTGTATTTATTGTAATAAAGATAATATCTCTAACAATGCCGTGCTGTTCTATTCGGTGGTGTGAGAAAAACAACAAAACATCTAATTACAAAATAAACGGTATCACATTTCATCGGTAATTTAATATTAAATATGTCATTTTGTAATTTTCGTCCATTATAGCAAAGCTCAAGTTAACTGGTCGATTTGAAGTGAAACAGTTGACGACACCCGTCAATTGTTTCGAACTCGGGCTAGCCAATCGGAACGCAGCTGTCACAGTAATGATATGGCCGAATAGTTTTCAAACAAATTAAATGACATTTCGTCTCTATTTCATTGATTGCAGTTAATAATTTAAAATTTAATTCAGTTCCGGTTCCGTCTAAACTTTTTTGTAATAGTCTTATGATTAATAGATTTACTAAACAGATTGAAGAACTATATATTATCGTAAGTTTTTTGATATCGAATTTAATTAAAATATTTTGCAATAAATAAGTAACAATTTTTATTTAAATTGATAAATTCAACGGTGCAATATGGGGCAAGTTGGAACATTTGAGTTCCTTCACAAAAATAGGAATTCTGACAGTATTATAAACACATCGCACAGTAGACAAACTCAACTTTTTTTTTATATTCATTTTGATCAAGGGGACTGAAAATTAGTGTTTTGCTTTTGGGCAAATTCCGCACTGAGCGACGACCTATTTGGCTTGCTGCAGTAGGTACATACAAGCAACTGTTGGTTTACCCGAAGGCACGGGTTGTTTTGTTTGTTATGTATATTTCATTGACCTACTAAGTATATTTCATTTAATTTCTTTGTTTTTATTCCCATCTTTAATTTTAATTAAATACATACACACATAATGATGATACTGATAGTAAGTTCCCGTATCTTTTTAGGTATCCGACTGCTGATCTCTACAAATCGTACAAAGCAGGATTGTTGCGGAGATCAGCATCCGCTTCCGCGGATAATTTGCATAAATTAAAATATCCGCATCTAAATCAGCACCCGCTTTCATCGATGATGATATTCATTGCAGATACGAAGCGAACGTCACCTAAAAGACACGCTGGAATAATTTACAAACCTTCCAGGCCAGAAACAGACTGTAAACCGAAAAAGCAGCTCAGCTGTAGTTTTTAAAATACAACTTTGATAATATTCCAGAAGAACTAAGCTAGCCAGATTGATTGTGTTCATACACATTAATTCTTTTGTTAATAAATGTCACAAAACCATTGAAATAATATTTTATTACAATACCAAAGAAAATAGAAAGCTTTTTCATGTAGATAAATTCAGTAAGGATGTACGGACAACGGTACAAGACACTACACATTTTTGTTCGAAAATCGCCTCCAGTACAACGGAACAAGATACGTAGCTTGATGTGCTGGCGTGTGCACATTTTTCGCGTTTTTTTAATACATAAAATCAGCATCCGCATCAGTATTCGCTGTATGTGTAAAATACCTGCATCAGCAACAACCCTGCTACAAAGTCTCACAGTCAAGCAGATCTTTATTTTATTTACTGTTCTTAAACAACACTCTCAGGTATCCTTCAATCCATTTCTCCTGGTTTGGCGACGCAAAAATATTATGTCCTGCTAAATTAGTTTCGCCAACCACTGCTGCTCAGCATTTCTTTCAACTACTACTTAAGGAAGGTTTTCCACCGGCCAGGTGAGACGAGACGAGGATTGAAATTTGAAAGACAAAATACACACTATATATATAGTCCATCCTTGACAATCCAAACCATTTCCACCAAAGATAGAAATGGCCTAGATTGACAAGCATGGGCGAAACGAGATTTGAAATATTTGTTGATGTAATATTGAACCGTATTGCTGTCTACATAGAGTAATTATACTCTGCAACGAAAACACGATTTCTCGCGCGAACTCGCGATGGCCATTAAGTATAGATTATATAGATAGATTTAAAAAAGTAGGAATTACCTGCTCCTCTTCCGTTAAAATATTTAATAATATTAATTTATTGTTATTTCAGTCGCGTATTTATATGAACTGAACAGCACTGTATCTTCATTACCTACAATCACAGCGCGAGCTATTAGGTAATAGCAATTTTTGGTGGAAATAGGCCGGCGAGATTTCAATTCTCGTCTCGCCTCACCTCGCCGGTGGAAAAGGCCTTTTTTTAAATAACACTTTGAGCTCCAGTCTTCCACAATACATTACCTACTCTAAACTTATGTAATAATATGTATCTCTACAGTGATGTTCCTTTGTTTTATATAGTGAAGATAACGATACCTATTTATTATTATTATCATTTATGTATGTTTCTCATTTAATACATAAGTATTGTATTACTTATATTATTGTGTGCGTAGACATCAAACGTTTTATCTGCCTAAGTATTTATAATTACTTACCTCTAAGTGAATAAAAAACATCCGTTTTATTTAATGCACTCCAAAATTTTATTAACATTCTTTAATAACAAAATAGATCTTACTACATCTACCTACGTGGCAAAGTAGGCACCTACACACAATTTATTAGATTTTTCTGTAATGCAATTTGTTTCTACAAAGAAACTATTGCCTCAATCCAATCTTTAAAATGTGGAATGTTGACAATAATAAAGGGCATGCCTTTTCCTGATTTCTCTCCCCACGTGAACATTCCCACTATTTTTGAGTCCACAATGAGAATAGCTCCGTGATCTATAAAGAGCAACAAGCAAGTTATTACACAAGTTTTGTTGTTCACAATTCCGGAGTTATCAAAACAGTAGAATTGAGAACCTCCTCCTTTTTAAGTCAGTTAATAAATGGAAAGAATAGAGTTGGAAATAGTGGTCGCTTGTAATCTTTCCGAAAGAAACGAAAGACTAAACTAATATGTTTTTAATATAAAATAACTAAGTGAATGGGACGAACAAGGTCATGCGCCTGTCTAAGGGCGCTCCCTCACCACGAACATTCGCTTGTAATATAACATTCAAGATTCGTTTTCGAGCATTACATTACAAACTGCCTCTCATTACATTTCATTACAGGTGAATGTTCGTCATTTAGACGAGCATTCGCCTGTAATGTAACATCCAAGATTCGATTAGGCTGCGATTCCACCAGATATGCGAGGTAGCAAGGCGTGCGTGCAAATGCCTCTGAGTGCGTGCAAGTGCCTTTGTGCGCCCGCAAGTGCCTTTGACTGACCGCGAATGCCTTTGAGTGACCGCGAGTTCCTTTAAGCGCCCGCGAGTGCCTTTGAGTGCCCGCGTGTGCCTGCGTGTACCTACGAGTGCGAGCGAGTGCCGTTGAGTGCCTGTGAGTGCGTTTGAGATTAATATTAACAGATTGCAAGCGAATGCTCGCGGTGAAGGAGCTCCTTAAGGCCAAATAATACTAGGCAGTGAGCATATACAAAGTATAATATCATTTCGAGTTCTTAGGTTTTCGCGATTGTTACACATAGGAAATGAAACTATTTTTCCGGATTTAAATCGCGTATATTTGTTTGTCAGTCAACCGTGACCATGGGACCTGTAAAGGGCCCGAAACGTCGGTTTGTTTGAAAAAACAAATATACGCGATTTAAATCCGGAAAAATAGTTTCATTTCCTATATAATATCATTGATACTAGGTATTTTCTTTTTTCACATTCTTATTTATAACCTGCCCAGTTTCAGGATGCTCCTCAATCCAAACATTTGAACAGTGGATCCTGTACAGTGATTTTCCCAGCTGTGATTTTTGCGCGGTGTGGTCAAAAGTCGTAGTATAAGTTGCCAAAATAGATAAAGAAAAAATCCTACGTCGACGTTATAGTATATTTATAATTTTTTTAGTACTGATTTATAATTTTGGTGATGCGTCCACAAACAGTGTCTGAAATTTGTTTCTTGATTGAAAAAAAATCGAACAATATTTTGAAAACACACCCGTATTCTCAGTGAATATTACTGTCTATAATTAAATAAACGATTAATTAAACGGTCTAATATAAACTGATATAGTACCAAGAATAATCGTCCGCGGGGGAACCTAACTTTGGTGAACAAATTTAAATGCTGACTAGCAAATACTGTAAGCTTTGGAGAACTTTCCGATCACTACCGCCCGCCCCCTCCACTGTCGCGCTAATGCGCAGTGTGACCGGTTGTGCGGAGATAGTGCTGCTTTTACTTATACTAATACTTACTTTTACTAATACTTGGTGACATGGGGGCCAAAACTGAACAATTTTTGTGATCATTTTACCCAGGAAACAAATAAGGTTTCAAATAATGCTGTGTACATTTTGAATATTGATTTTGGGTACTTTTGATATGCTATAGATAATGGTGCCTTAACTTAAATAGTATAAATGACACTAATATCAGATTTCTTACCACGGTATGACTTCTTTTTATTTTCCCGATATTTCGGAACGATTACACGCTCCATGGTCACGGGTTGACTGAACGGCGGCAGATGACAGCTTTAAGAGCAGACATATCTGTCTACCCTCTTGCGCTGTCGACGTCTACCTTCATCGCGATTTGTTGTGGCGTTACCATTGTCACTCACTTTTTTCACACAAACCACACTCACTGTATCCACACGCGAAACTGAACTCGAGGTGTTTTTGTTTTTATTACTGCACGCAATAAGGACCGGATTCCATCCACTGGACAGGTTAAAACCATCATCACGGTTAAATGTTTTGTACTTCGTGATCTCGATGGCTTCTCGTACCAACCGTGGTATGTAGTGACGTTCTGTCGAGAGTACCTGGGGGCTATGCAACTCGATCCATTGGTTAGTGTCAGTATGTGTGAGATGTTGTGCTATAGCCGACTTCTGTGCATCATTATTTTTTACTGCTCGAATGTGTTCCTTCATACGATCGACAATTGTTCGTTTAGTCTGACCGATATACGAGCTCCCACAACTGCAGTTCACTTTATAGACACCCGGTGTTTGTAAAGGGAGGTGGTCTTTTGGTGAACGTAACATTTTTCCTATTTTGGTTAAGGGGGTGAAAACAGTTTTTATGGAAAACTTCCTTAGCAACCTGGCTATTTTATCTGTCACCCCTTGGTTAGAAAAACTGGTAGTCTCTGTACGTCAATTTGCTTCTTCCTTTTGTGTATTGGTTTAAATGTTTTTATTTTGTATCTATTCTGTCGCAAAACCGTCTTAACGTGCTCCTGTGCCTGTAGTAGTAGCTGTGTAGGTGGTGTGCATCACAAAGATCACAAGCTCTATTGGTCAATGATCTGACGACCGAATGTAGGTGTTTTGGGTGATGATGTGAAGTGGCATGTAAATATTTGTCCGTGTGAGCTGGTTTTCTGTACACGGAATGACCGAGTGAACCGTCTTGTCGGACTTTGACCAATACATCCAAAAATGCAAGCGCGCGATTTTTCTCAATTTCACAAGTGAACTTCTTTTTGTCATGGGTGTTATTAAGACGTGCTAAATAATTTTGTATATGTTGCTGCTTTCCTTCCATTATGCAAAATACGTCATCAACATACCTCGTCCATAATTTTATTGTTGATGATGCTGACAGAATGGCGGCGTGTTCATAGTGTTCCATCCAAATGTTGGCAACAACGGGAGCAACGAGACTGCCCGTCGCTACACCATCAATCTGAAGGTAGTATTGGCCATTGTACAGCAAGTGGCTCGTGTTTAAGCAATGTTCAAGTAATTGAGCAATCTCCATTGGGATGTTATTTTCTTAAAGTTTCACTTTGATAACGTCGATGCACTCCTTTATTGGTACGTTTGTGAAAAGAGACTCAACGTCATAACTAACCATTGTCTCATTCTCGTTAACTGTGGTACTGTTAAGGATCTCAATGACATGCCTGGAGTCCTTCACAAAGGAATTCGTTGTGCCTACTAGAGGAGTTAGTGTACGAGACACATATTTTGCCAATTCAAACGTGGGTGAGTCTATCTGACTCAGTATTGGTCGTAATGGTACGTTAGTTTTGTGGATCTTTGGCAAACCATAAAGCCTCGGCGGTTGGACGATACGTGGACGTAATAGTTGTTTTTCAATATCAACTGGGATAGCGCTCCTACATTCAGTAATAATGGCATCCGTCTGTCGTTTCACTCTGGCAGTCGGGTTGTATGTTACATGTTTGTATGTCATGCCACCCTCCAGTAAAGCTTTTATTTCGTCGACAGCGCAATAGGGTAGACAGATATGTCTGCTCTTAAAGCTGTCATCTGCCGCCGTCCATGGAGCGTGCAACCGTTCAGAAATATCGGGAAAATAAAAAGAAGTCATACCGTGGTAAGAAACTTGATATTAGTGATAATCATTTAGTGAATAACCACGAAAGTCTTAAAATGTTTAAATAGTATAGTTTTAAAAGAACTGTTGCTAATTTTCCAGTTTTGGTGACACACTTTCACCAAACTTTTCAACTTTGACCAACTTGTTCACCAAAATTGTATCTTATCACCAAAATTAGAAAGTAAGTAGTTTTTTCTGTCATAATAACAATGTTGTTGGCTACAAATCTATAATGTTGGAAAAGTAAAGTTCATTAAATAAAAAAAATTGTGTGTCGGGAAAACGAGGCATGAACATGCATAATGAGGATTCCTTTTTTTATACACAATGCAAGTGCGCATTTGACCTTCGTCTCACCTAGTGGACAGTGATAGCAGGGAATTCCACTCCATAGCCGTTTGCCATATAAATCTGGAAGTGTAACGCTTCATGCAAATCTTTGGCATATCCACAACATAGGGCTGGAACCCAAGCCTACGTGTAGTACCCCGGTGAAGGGGAAGGTGGAATTAAATCGTGTATTTCCATCGCATAGACTCCGTGGTACATCCTGTAGAATATCGATAAGTAGGCAAGTTTACCGCGGTGTTCAAGGCTCTGCAGCTTCGCATCTACTAATTTCGTGTTACCTGTAAGCCTCTTGGCATTGAATTTAAGGTGACCAGTTGGTATGTAGCAGTGCCAACCCATAGGTGGCAGCAATACTCCATACACGAACTGACTTGTGCTAGGTACAGTTGAAGCAACTGTCCCGGTGCGAAGTAACGCCTCACTCTAGAAAGGATGCCAATATGCGTTTTTGGCCATGAATTCTATGTATCTGCCAAAGTTTATATTGGAGGACAGGTTCATCTTAAGTAGATAGAGACAGTCGGCTATCGGTATATGTAATAAAATGTCACGAAGAGTCAGGTCAAAAGATCTCCGTTTTGTGGAGAATAGACACGCCTGTGTTTTGGTAGCGTTTTGACGAGATTGGCGTCGCCCCGATCTCAGACCGCCTAAGTGTCAAATCCGAACGCCTAAGAATAGAGTCTCGACAAGACAGCATGTCCTCTCTACTGACCCTTGCATTGGTCAAGCACCTACCTACAACTGTGCTGTCGTCAGCATACGCAAAGGCAACTGGAATTAACGTATCATTGATATGTAGCAGAAAGAGAGTTGCAGACAGCACGGAACCCTGAGGAACTCTGGCATCCATCGCCCGATGTTCGAAAAAGTAGCCTTCTCAGACTATTCGAATCGAACGAATTTCCTCAAGAAGTCCGACATTCAATTGCAAAGCTCAGTGGGAGGCTAACAAGATGGAAACTTGCTTAAAAGACTTGCGCGCCGGACGCTGTCAAAGGCTTTAGAAATGTCCAAAGACACTGCTAGTGCTTCGCCTTGCTTTTCTATAGCCTCGCTTCATATGTG